AGCTCGGATCATGTATGTCGGATCTGAAACATGGTTTCAATCATTTTCATATTTCATACATCAAAGTAGCTTCAGTTGAATTTTAGGAGGAAAAAAGTACCAATGTATTTCAGTGTAATATCCATTTTACTCTGCTTCGCAAAGTACTCCTGTTAAAGAAAAAACCCCGAAATGAGGAAGAAAAGAAAAAGTAAGAAAACCAATATGGAACTGAAGTTTTTGTTTAGTTCTCATTTGCAATTATATACCTTAATTTTAATACTCATCCAGAGTCCAACATCTTTAAGGAGCTTGTTTCCTGAAGCATCTTGCTGTTCAATGCTCTCTGCAAGAAGATCTTGTCCTGCACCTTCAGCAATCACTATAACCATGTGGCCATTCTCTCTGAGCCGTTTTGCAATGAACTCGTAAAGCCCTCCTTTGCCTTCAAGGTAAAAGGGCGACTCGGGAATCAGACAGCAGTCAACATCTCGGCTGGCCAGAGTCGCATACATCGCAATGAACCCTGCAGTGTAGAATCTATAGATTAGCAAAAGGCGCAGGGAGAAACGTCAAAAAGAAGATACTTCTGTGTCTATTTTTTTGTATGCATAATTTGTCTCCTTCTAAACTTACCACTGTAGCGACCCATTAGCTTGACAAGTCCGATGCCGTTTTCCACACTGGTCGCTTCAACATGCGCTGCATTAATAGCACGTTGAGCCTCCTCAACCGCAGTATCAAATCCAAAGGACTTGTCAATGACCTGAGTCAGTGATACTATCAAACAGAGCTACAGACAAACTAGCCAGAATGGGAGAGAAGGTTAAGGTTGAGAGTAGAGTTACTAAATCTGGGACTTACTGGGATGTCGTTGTCAATGGTTTTTGGTATTCCTGCGACTGCAACTTTTAGTCCACGGCGTCTAATTTCCTGTATCATCAGTCAAAAACATTTGATTAACCAAATTAAAGCAATTGTCACACGAACATCACTACTATACAAGTCCAAAAATAATTTATAGACACAAGTGCTTTATATCCAATGATCCATGGATTTTAGTTAGACTGTTCTCTTCATAAAATGTTCTAGGTAGGTACCATCAAACAATAATACACAAGATATCAACTCCAAAGAAGCATCTATTTCAATATTTTGAGCACACTGTTCACTAACTAACCTTATATATTGCAGATGCTCCCTTTTGAGTTCCATCACCTCCAATGATGTAAACCTATATCACAGACACAGATAATGCAACTGACTATTATTAGCAGAACTATACTCCACTCAACAGAAACAAACTTTAAGGAAACAAAAAAAAAATGTATGTTCTTAACAAACCTGATTTATTTCACGGTCCTGTATATTGTCAACGATCTTTGATGTTTCATGTCCCCCTCGGGAGGTTCCTAGTATGGTTCCCCCGCGCTTGTGGATGTCACTCACAACCTTCGGTGTTAGTGTAACAGTATTTTTGGAATAGAACCCGCGAAATCCACACTGCAGCATCAGAAACCAGATGAGCCCCAATAATCCTAATCAATCAATAATAACTTACACAAGGATTTGCTAGAGCACCAGATATTAGAGGTTAGCTAATAGGAGGTTAGATTTCCCATTGGTATATATAATCTGCTATTGCTATATTACAATATACTATAGCAATTATGGAACAAAGTGTTCACACTAAAAGTTTGGGACACTAAAGATCATTATCGCCAAAATATTCAATTTCAAGAACATCACTTGTTGGTAATGAAATTGAACTCACATCCACACCAATTACTTCTGTGACACCATACATGAAGTGAAGACCACACACGATTTCCCTGATTACAGTATTAAGCCCCGGGCATAGACCACCACATGTGACAATACACGCACGTACATCAGCTGGCTTGAAATACACCTACATACAAATATATAACCAAACGTCAGCCGTTTATACATCACTAGATGCGTAAGCTGCAAAGCATGGGAAACTCATGCAAGTGATGAAATACCTTTTGGCGGGGTCCTGCGCGTCTAAAATGTGTCCCTCTAGGAGTATCTTTGTGAACAACAATCTATAAATGAAAAGAAAAGAAAAATTAGCAAAACATATAACATTATCACTGCCGCAGAGAACAAGAGGCCAAAACGTAAGAAAGAAACACGGCCGTGAGTTTTCACCTTTTGTGGGACCGTATCATCCTCATCAACAAAATACTGCCTGAAAATCCGACAGAACAAGGACCCAATTAAACTGACCATCATCTGTCAATCAATCAAGGTTACAAGTATAATCACAACTTACCTAACTACTGAATAAGCTGGGTTCGATTGCAACGGGTTTGGATAAGTCTGGAAAAAAACCCATAGAAGAGAAAATGCATCAGCAAAAGTGAAGAATATCAATAGAACTGAAACTAAAACGGGCTACGAGTATCTGTTCCAAGAATCTCCTTTCTTCGAAATGAAACACGATGCTGGACAAATATATCCTGACTTCTTAGTCACTATGGGAGAGAGCTTCATCGCCATCATATTTAGAAAATTAAAACAGATTTCAGACTCAATGGTAGTGATCAATAGATCTGACCAAACATTCCACCACGGGTATGCGTATATATGTGCACATGCGACAATCCATTTCCACGTTCACATTGATTTAACATTTATGTGCACTACGAGAATAAATAACTATGTAAATCTCCATGATAGCGACCGGATCTCGTCTACAACCCCAAATTACAAAGCATAAATAAAAGGATTCATCAAAAAGCCCGAAACAAAAGGGAAATCAGCATTTGTATACATACACGAACGAATCAACCAAATCGGGCATACTACCAAATTCGCACACGTGTACGGACTGGTTTCAAAACAAGGTAAGGAGTGTAAAATGCTAAAATCATATAAACACCGATCCATAGAAATGTCGATTTCAAAGAATAATCAAAGGAAGTCGTATAGAGAGGAAGTAATACGGGGAGATCGTGAATGTAATCGCTGAAATGAGGAACATCTTCGAGTACATAACCAGCAGCTCCTTCCACCAACTTCATCTGCTCATCGACGCCATTCGATTCCATCTCTCTCTGTATATACCGAAGACCTTTTTCTTCTGTTTTCTCCGGTCGTCACGTCAGGCGAATTTATTTTTGAAGCGTTTCGGTATATTGTATTCTATTATAAACTGTTCAGAGTGGTATGGAAGTAGAAGAGAACCAAAGTTTTCGAAACTATAATACGACGTCGTTTTAACTCACCGATACATTTTGCGACATCAGCCAAAAAAACCAGCGGAAACAGCCGCTGGTTTTACCTCCGGTCACTTTCAGGTTTTCAAAATATATGAATTATAAAGAAAGACCACCTTGAAAAATATTTTGGACAAAAAATTGTATAAGTATCTTATCATTCTTCTTTTATTTGAAATTTTTCTAACAGTGTCCAAGAAAAAGTCACTAAATAAACAATAAGAAATAAGATGTTCTAAAAAAAACAATAACAAATTATTCAAGTTACAAGAATTATGAAAACAGTCAATCATTTAATAAAACAATCATAAAAAATTCCAGTTACATAAATAATGAAAATACCCAAGCATCAGAAAAAACTAACTTAATTCCATTTGAGTTATTATATGACTTAAATTTGCGTTTGTTTTAAAAAAACTAGATAAAACGGATTATCTATGAAAGATGAGAAACGAGTTAACTGTAACAAAAATTATAATCCTTGAAGTTAAATTTGGTGATGAATTTATATACAAAACACAAATCAATTTAATCGGTCTCTACTTCAACATGTCGGATGGGATTGATTGTATGAATAACAAAGGTTTGAGTGTAGCTATAAGCATTGTAATATCAGAAGGTGGTGCTTACAACAACAAGATCTGAATTTGATGTGATGATTTATTGTGGTGAAAAATATTTTATGAGGAGGGTAATCTCTTTTAACTTTCTTTAGCTAACATCATGAGAAAAAATATATGGTAAAATTAACATTGGCAAAAACAAGACAATCGAGAGAGGAAAGCAGAATATTTTAGAACGCATTGTGAATAACAATATAAAAATGACAATATAAAAATAAATTTAAGTGTATAACTAATGAAAACATCCAACTAAGAAAAATGAGAATCAGCTGACTTTTAAGATCATATCTCATCAATTTTTATTCCTTAAATTGGCTTTTTGTTTTCAAAATTCAGATATAAGCAATATACACCATATTTTACAATATTCTATAGTTCAAATGTTGAAAAAACTTTATTTTGTACTAAAATGGCCCAAGAACTATTATTTAGGATTTTACAAAGAATTAAGACAGTAAAAAAATATATATAATGAGAGATAACTAGCAAAAAGATGATGGACTCAGCGAAAAAAACATTATGTTTATGTTGAACGCCATTGGAATGCAAAGACTCCGGAAGAAATTTCCTTGAACTGGTTTTAACTTATTTATTAGAAAAATTTTACTTTACCAAGGCTAATGTGTGTTGAGTTAGATAATAAACATTTTGTATAAAAATTTGAAATTTGTTAGAAAAAAAAAATTAGATGAGTTAAAATCAAACATTTTCTAATTTTTTTTTATCTTCAGTCTCCCACATGATTTATCTTCCATTAATCTTCTTTTCTTCAGTAAATAAAACTAAGTTTTGTTAACATGTAAAATTGGGTTTTACAAATAAAAGATACACACATACATACATAGGTGTGTAACACATCCACTTAAAAAAAAGAATAATATTTTAAAAAAGATATTTCTTATTCATACAATATATATCCCGAGCGTCCCCGAATCATTTAATTACCCCACTACTAAGTTCTTCCCCTCGGAAAAGTTAATTAGCTTATTTTAATTTTATTCTGGGTAGCTTTTTTTCTTCTCCAAATTATCTATTCGTTTATGGTTGACGGAGACTACTCTGCTTCCTCCGTTAAATCATTCACATTAAAGAGCCAAAATCCTTAGAGTAAATTAATCATAAAAAATTTAAATGATTAAATCGAATCGCCGTACCTAATATATCTTCCCGAAACACAACCCTTTTCTCTCCATCTCCCTCGTGCCCCCTTCTTCTCGATCCCTCTCTCTTCTCTCTGAACCTCCAGTCCATCATTTTAACCTCTCTCAGATTCTCCTCCGTCTTTGACTTTTTTTTTGACATCCTAGTCGCTTTCCCCTTCCATCGATTTAGGGCTTCCGCTTACCCCTTCGAGTTTTTTTCCTCTTGTTCTTAATAAAGTTTATGCTTTTGATTTCCTTTTTTGGTTCCCTCCTTCTGCAATTCCCGTCACAACTCGCTCTTTCCCTGTCGAGGTCCCGAATTTCTCTTCTTGAGTGCGTCTGATCCGATCTCCCTCCGTTTAGCTTGCAGCGAGGCGGTGATATATGGTTTCCTGCTGTTCTTCGGCTTGGATCGCTTAGGATTTTGTAATTGTGTTATGATGGTGGGTACTCAACGTGTAGATGGCTCGTTGCCGCCGGTGAATTCTCCTAAAAGCTATGGAATTACAAAGCCTCTTTCCCTTGCTGGGCCTTCTTCGGCGGATTTCAAGCGTAATGTGGAGCTGGAGAAGGTAAGCTTAGTTTCGACAGCTGATATGATTCGAAGCCTACGTTTTTAGCTGATTTTTTTTTTTGGTATGCTCCAAGTTTTTGGTTGACGAAGGACTCTATGAGAGCAAAGAGAATACCATGCGGAGAGAGGAAGTTCTGGGGCGCATTGATCAGGTGAGCGTCTTCTTAGTTGATGTTTCTACTAATCTGATTTTCTGCCAATAGAGAATTGTAAAACGGATTTTGAACAAAAACTTATGTATTTATTGTCGCTGATCTTTCACTGTATTGGTTCTTACTCGTGTCTGGTCTGGTTGTCCTGTATTCCGTTCACTGTGATTTTCATTTTCAGCCAGGTCTGTTTAAAATGGCAAATCTTTCATCTAATATTTTTCATATACTTTTCTCTTTTAGATTGTAAAGCACTGGGTGAAGCAGTTAACCCAGCAGAGGGGCTACACGGATCAAATGGTGGAGGATGCAAATGCTGTCATTTTCACCTTCGGATCTTACCGACTTGGAGTAAGTGCTTCATGTTTACCATTTCCTTGCCGTTATCTTGAAGCTAAAGTGCATATAATATCTTTGGACGAATGATTATGGATTACTAGGATCATTTTTATGGTATTGAGCCTTTTGAACATCCGAATACTATCCTTGATTGAGAGTTAGCTCTGATTTATCCTCTGCAATGCAATCCTAGTCTCTGAGGCTGGAAAAAATACAAATTTGTGGAATTGCAGGTTCATGGGCCTGGGGCTGACATTGATACTCTGTGTGTTGGGCCATCTTATGTTAACCGGGAGGTGAGTGACTCTTGCTATTTACCTCTTTTTCTTGCAAAAATCTGGTTTTCTTGAGTTCTTAACACCTGTATTTGTACAGGAGGATTTCTTCATCGTCTTGCATGATATATTGGCTGAGATGGAAGAAGTGACTGAACTTCAACCTGTTCCTGACGCCCACGTTCCGGTCATGAAATTTAAGTTTCAAGGAATACCGATTGATCTGCTCTATGCTAGCATATCACTTTTAGTTGTGCCACAGGTAATTTTATCTGTGAATCGAATGTATCTATTTCCGTTTATGCTGAAGCCCTAGGGGTGCTATGTGATAAATTTATGTTACCTTGTACATAATATGCTAGACTTGTTAGTGTTTGCATGTTGATGGGAGCAGATAGTGTACTACTCTTCGTCCAAGGGCTGATAGATTTTTTTAGATGTTTTTCATTTGAGAGAGCTGAGAAGTTTGCTGGCTGTTTTTAGTACAGAAGTCTTGAATGAAAACTGAGCCCATGAGCTGTCACAATAGTTTGTAACTGTTTGCTGATTCAGATCTCTTCATGGACTTCATTTATCAACAGGATCTGGATATCTCCAACTCTTCTGTGCTGTGTGATGTTGATGAGCCAACCGTTCGGAGTCTTAATGGTTGTAGAGTTGCTGATCAGATTCTTAAACTCGTTCCAAATTTTGAGGTATACTTGCAAAATGCTTGTCACTATGTTAACATATCAAAACACTATTGTTGCCTTCTCTGATCTTATGTGCAATTGTAGCACTTCCGAACAACGTTAAGATGCCTGAAGTACTGGGCTAAGAGACGTGGCGTCTACTCAAATGTAAGATATTACCTTTCTGAAATCCATATTTATTGAAAATTTTCATACTTAAGCCCTCGTTGTTATTCTCACTTTGGGCAGGTCACTGGATTTCTGGGCGGTGTAAACTGGGCACTTTTGGTTGCTCGTGTGTGCCAGCTCTATCCAAATGCAATTCCTAGTATGCTGGTTTCTCGGTTTTTCAGAGTATATACTCAGTGGAGGTGGCCGAACCCCGTCATGCTTTGCGCAATAGAAGAGGATGAGCTTGGATTTCCTGTCTGGGACCCTCGAAAGAATCATCGCGACCGTTATCACCTTATGCCAATAATAACTCCAGCTTACCCATGCATGAATTCTAGTTACAATGTCTCTCAAAGCACTCTTCGCGTTATGACAGAGCAGTTCCAGTTTGGTAACAATATCTTGCAAGTAAGAGAGTAAATCTTTTGTCTTGTTTCCTCAAAACTTTTATTCAGGATCCTATTCTAAAGCATAATTTTCAATGCAGGAGATTGAATTAAATAAACAACACTGGAGCTCTTTATTTGAACAATATATGTTCTTCGAGGCATATAAAAACTACCTGCAGGTTGATATAGTAGCAGCAGATGCAGAGGATTTATTGGCTTGGAAGGGCTGGGTGGAGTCACGGTTCAGACAGCTGACCTTAAAGGTAGATACCGTCCTCTCTTCATTTGATTTAACAATAGTAAACCTGCTGTATCTTCAGTGTTTTATCCATATTTATTTTGGTAGTAAAAAAGAAATTATTGAATTGTCCTCGATCTCGTTTCTTCTGATTCAATAATGCAGATAGAAAGAGACACAAATGGGATGTTAATGTGCCATCCCCAACCAAATGAGTATGTAGACACGTCTAGGCAGTTTCTGCATTGTGCCTTTTTCATGGGCTTGCAGAGGGCAGAAGGCGTTGGTGGTCAAGAATGTCAACAGTTTGATATACGCGGTACGGTCGATGAGTTCAGACAAGAAGTTAACATGTATATGTTCTGGAAACCTGGGATGGATGTGTTTGTTTCTCATGTTCGTAGACGACAGCTTCCACCTTTTGTTTTCCCAAATGGATACAGAAGGCCTCGGCCGTCCAGGCACCAAAATCAACAGGGTGGAAAATCTGGTGAAGATGAGACTGTTTCTCATTCCAGCTCTGTGGTCGAGGGGCATGCCAAGAGAAAGAACGATAATGAAATGATGGATGCGAGGCCAGAGAAACCTGAGAAGCGCGCATCTCTTAGTCCACAGAGTCTAGACATTGTTTCTCCTGAAAGTTGTGCTATCACTACTGGTTGGACGCCTCCTATTTGTAATCTTAGAAGGCCACCTGGTGAGGAAATTGAGGCTGGAAATTTGAACACTGAGGATACTGAAGTCACAAACTTTGCTAGAGGTGAGCGTAACTCTGGCAGCGAGCAAGCTCTGGAAGTAGATAGTATGGCTCTTGTTCAAGAATACTCTGATCCGGCTGAGGCTATGGGAAAGTCTGTGACACCTGATTCTAGTGATGTGGTAGCATGTGAAAGTGGGCAGGAAGAAAACTTAGATCGTGATTTGAGGTCTGTATCGATCAGTGTAGTCAATGAAGTTGAGAGGGAATCAAACTTATTTAGTGGGACGAGGCCAACTGGAGAAATTGCCGACAGTGTTCAGCTGAGCAGATCTTGTGGGCAGAACCATGATTATGAGGTGAGTTTTTTTTTTTTGTATGTTTGAGGGTTTGGGTGTGTTACCAGAAAATTGGCAATAATTTCTTGAACGGTTTATAGGGTTTTGGGTTTCCTGCTGCAAATTCAGATCCTTTTGTGGGAAAGGAAAACGTGTACTCTCAAAGTGGCATGCCTGAAGACCTTCAGGTTCTTAAGCTACCTCACATTAGTTGTTTTTGAAAGATTATCATATTTTTCTTAGCTGGTTTGAAAAATCAACGTCCAGTAGTATGTGAGCATCAAAGCTCCACTACATGGGATTTAAGAGGATCTCATACTATAGTCAAGAAACATAGGATGGAGCTAAGTCCAAATTTCGATGGTAGATATCCAAAACAGTACGACCTCTTTTGGTACTTAAGGGTCAATATTTCTGCTGTGTTTTTCACTTGCCTTGTGTTGTTTCTGCATACCGCCTAACTTATTAAATATAATGGTTGGCAGGTCCTTCACTGCAATGCTTTTGTTGTGTATATCAAGCAACTCCGCTTGAAAATAGATTTTTCTCTCTTTACTTAAGTTTTGTGAAGAATACACCAAACTAACTTGTGTTCTTGCTCGTAATGTTGTTTGCTTAGTCAAACTCTTTGGTCAGCGGGATGGAGAAGACAGACGACAGAGCTAGGTCAGAATCTATGCAGAAGTCACAGATAAGGCAAAATAATCATTTCTTTATGTTACTGTTTTATTTTTTGGTTTCTTGGTGCTTTTATAGCAGCAGCAGGTTAAGCTTAAAGTCCACTGTGTGAACATCCTCTAGGCTGTTGACGTGATAACTAGAGTCATCAAGAAAACAGGAAGATCAACTGAAACTGTTGCGGCGGACAGACGACAGAGTCCAAAACCTTTGGTAAGTTAATTTTTTATATGGAAACAAAAAAAAAAAGAAAAAAGTAAAAAATGACAGTGAAAAGTCTCAAAAAAAAAAAAGAAAAAAAAAGGAAACGAGAAGTGAAGAAATACCACTTCAGATGTCCGGTCTTCTTGGGGTGGGGGGTTTGACTCGAATCTGTGTTTTATATTTTCCAGTTTTTGTATATAAGAACATCTCTGCCTTAATGTCTCTTTTTGGGATTCTTCTGTTTACATATTATCCATCTTTGTGGAAATTGTTATTGCTAATACTGCCTTTGCCTCTAGAACAAGGTTTAATTTCTAAAGTTTGAAAATCGATCGAGATATTGAAATAGTGGTGGTTGAACAATGAAAAGATAGCTTGTTAATGGATTTCCAATCTCATCACTTCTTTGTTTCATCACACAAATGTTGTAAAAGTGAAGACCATCACTAAACTGGAAACACGGATGCTTCGAATTTCTCTAAAAGCAAAACACATTTTGTGGAGATGCATCAAAAACCCATTCCGTGCTAAAAAGATATAAGATTTACATTTTATGTATAGTTTCTCATATTTATTTATACATAAATATCTATCCTTTTCAGCATGAAAATTTGTCAACCATCAGACATGACAAATTACCACTTAAGTAAGATTGTATTTCAAAATACTCCATACATTTCGAAAGATAATATAACCTCAGGAAAGCCTCATTATGTGCAATACAACGTTTGATTGGAAATGACCAGTAGTCCAGCCAACCAAATGAAATTGTTGTTCTTCATTGGAGATTCCCACTATGTACAACCGCTTATTCTCTCAATTCTTTTTACACAAAATTAAGGTAATTAACAAACAAACAAAATTCAGAAATATTCATTCATTCTTACATAAATGGGATCAGTGTCTTTATTTTGTTTGATCTATTTTTTTTCCTTTTTATATGTCCTCTTTTTTAATACCGGGAGTATATACTATATTACTATGATAAAACAAAATCTAGAGATCTAGGATCCAGCCCTCTAGACTTTTAGTGGGATTTGGTGAAGAAATGCTATACCTCGTCTTTGCCGAAAATTTTTGGAGAAAGATCTTACAGTAACTTTTGACCAGTTCCACTACCAATCTAGTTACAATCGGCTTAGTTTTGCTGTTTTTTCAATTCTATCGAAGTATAAATTATAAGATAAGTGGTTTATAACGATGGATATGTGTTTTAAATAGCATTAGGCAATTTAGGGTTTCAAATTTAATTTGCCGTTTTATGTCTACGCATAAATTTCTAAATTCAGCATATTAAACGACAAATCAAATACTAAAGTATAGACACATTATGTCTATAGAAACATACGTACGCACGTTTACATTAGATCGCCAAAAAAGGGTCTATTATATCATGTGTTTTTAACTGCTAAAGGCAGTAATTCTAACGTAGATAGCCATTCTTTTAACGTTAATAGTCAATTGATACAACTGCAAGTAATCGTTCATTTTCATTCCTTAAGACGTAAAAACAAAGCTATTTCGAAAATCGATTTTCCTACAATTTCGTCCACGCAGATCCAAAACACGATCATGGATTACACAAAAAGAAAAAGAACAAAAAAAAAGGGAAAACTAGGAAAATATATACTACTACAAGAAGAAATTAAAAAAGTCAAAACAAGACTACGAAAGTTACCTACAGTATTACTACTATATAATATTTATTTCGTTGATATGATATGATATTTTGGGTGTAACGAAGAAAGTAACGCTAAATTATATAAATGTTTTAAACCTCCTGAGCGGTCATCCACCTCTGCAACCTCAGCTGTCTATGGAACCTCTGTATAAACTCCTCCGCTGCTCTGTCCACGTGGCAGCTATCTATGGTTCCTGTGCTGCTAGCTACGTCTGGAAACACGGCCGCCGCCACGTGTCGGTCCCAAACGGAATCTCGAACCTTAGGGAGTGTGTGGTATCGTATATACGCGTGGCGTTGGCGCTTGTTGATGAGCGGTTTGCGGGACCCGCTACGTCGTCCGTTGCTGACGTGGCCTCCGATGGTGGCTGAGGCGTAGGAACGTCTCGGTGGGGTGCTGCTGCAGCTGAACTCGTACTCCAGCTGGATCATCGGGACAGGGGAGATGAAAGAGGATCGGACGTCGTCGTGGTCGGAGGGACGGCACGTGATGCGTGAGTGGGAAGTTGATACGGCGTCGTTTATAGACTTGCGTAGGATCTTGCCTCGTTTCGCGAGCAGTTGCGGATCGAGGGTTGTGAGGAGTTTGTGACGTGAGGCGTCCGAGACCTTCTGGATGGCAAAGAGGATTAGCTTGGCAAGGCTTGAGAGCTTCTTTGTGGTGACTGTTGAACAAACCTCCATATCGTGTGTTTGCATATGTGATATAGAAAGAGAGAAAAAAAAGAGAGTTTGGTTTAGTGTTGGAGGGATGGGATTTAAAGAAGATAAAATGGGATTAATGAAGAAACTGATGATGGTCTTTATATAACGGAAATATTATATTTATTCTGCTATAGGAGTTTTAATCATAAATTTATTTCAAGATATAGGCAAAAAAGAAGTCGATGGGTCCAATAGTTATTATTATCTCAACCGTTAATAACATTCTGGAATTTATTAAAAGACTCTTCTAGTTTGAGTCTCCCACAATGGTATTGTAAAAAAGGTAAAAAAACCAAGCCTATACTAATATTCTTAAAGCATATGTTAATATTCATGATATTATTTGCTGTTTCCAATTATCTAAAAAAAAAAGTCCATGTTGTCTCTTGTTGTTATATAGAATAAGTAACTCTACAGTTTGATAGCATTAATTTTATCAGTATAAAAGACAAATGTTCTGGGTTTTATCCCATAAAAATTCCTGACTTTTAGATTTCTTGCAACTAGTATATATTTATTCAATAGTGGATTTTGATTGAATATGAATCGACAGATTCATGTAATTGAATATGAATATTTATCCAGTTATCACTAAGTTATGCATGTGTTATTACATCTGATATTTGAACATTATACTTATAACTATAAAGGAATATAGTTTAATTAATTTCTCCTAAAAATCTACCGTGTTGAACAATTGGAGCATATATCTGACAAATACAGATACTGAAGATTGATCTAACCTTGAAGAAAAGCGACCCGATTACTTAGAAAATACATTTACAATTACACTAAAACAATATTTTAATTAGTGTAATGATAACAGCTGCATTATACAAAATTTATTTGAACCGTGCCTGTCTTTATGATTTTTAATATGTGGTTACCTTTTCTTTTTCTATGTCTTTACTTTAATTGAATTTCTTTGTCAGGTAGGAAATAAAGAAAGGAGAGATATATTAAATTAACTATTTTTGTGGGTCAAGTAATTGTGTTTTTTCTTTCTAAGTTGTTCGCATATGCAAAAAGTGTTATACGGGTAGGGAGCCATTGGTCATCTAATGTTTTATTCAGAAAAGTTGATTTTGGTTGCTTTATCGAAAGAGTTAAAATCTTATCGAGAGAGATTATTAAATTTAGATTCTTTGTGGGAAAAAATCATGAACTGTTTTTTTCCAAGCATGGTAGTCTCGGGCTACCAAGTTTCGTATAGATACTTCGACGGTCGACACTGTTATATATATATATATATATATATATATATATATTAATATAAAGTTGGGAAATTTGCATTTTGAGAAATTTTATTTTTGAAGTATAATATGTATATATAGATGGGATTTATAATATAATACATAGCTTATGAACGGATTTTATTGTGGGCTGTGTGGAAAACAAAAATTATTCTTTTTATTATTGATAAATAAAGAAACAGGATATTTAAATTCTTAGGGTTTCTATAAAATCTATTTGATAGGAAACATAAATTTGTCAATATTGTACTGAAAATTCAAAATTCAGCAAAAAATAAATAGTTTCGAAACTAAAAGAGGCAATAACCACTATAACAAATTGAATTATATCTGAAAGTTTTGTTCTTAGGATATAGGGCAAACGATATCTTTTTTTTATTATTCATTTGGGTTGATCTACCAAAATCAAATATATGGATTTTATGTTCTTCAGGAAATCAAGTAAAAATAGTTTTACAGATGAATAATGATGAAACTTTTACCTGATTGGATGTGTTAAATAGTGTAATTTTGTTGACTCTTACCAATAAACCCTCACGTAAAGTTGGAAATGTAACTTTTTCGTTTCTTTTCACTTTCCCATGAAATTACTCTTGTTCGGATTTGAAAGTACTATTATCAAAATATTAGCTATCGCTATTTTCCATACAATAACGAGATCATTATTAGGCCTAGAAGGTGTCAATGAGCTGGAGTTATAAAAAGTTCACATTATCAAACCTAAAATTTAGGCCTAGATATTGTAAATATTCAGGTATTTCTGAGCAAATGAGTGCTTAATAATTTGCATAAAAAAAAATGTCATGATTAGTTCTTACAATTCCTTCTTCTTTTTTTTCTAAATAAAATAATGGATTTTAAGGTTTAGGCAGTCGATGGGTTGTGGACTATGATGGATATGTTCAAATGAAAGAAAATGGGTCCTACTGTAAGGGGGAAAAACAAAGTAAGATAACCCAAAAGCAATTTCCAATTTGACACCTTCTCAAGCAAGGCTTAACAATATCTTCTTTAATTAAGAGATGAATGATATTTATCTTATTCTATAATTACTTGCAACTTGCTTATTGGAAGAGGATGCGGTTTAAGCTCTGAACGTACGAGAGAAAATGTATATATCTCATTTGTTGATCCATCTTAGTTGATCTTAAAAACTGTTACTAGATCTATTTTCTCTTGATTGATTTCAAAAATCCTATTTTTTCGAAAGACCGTCAAAATTTTTGTGCTAAATGGATGCTTATCTAACGGGTCTGATATATTCTAAGTTATATAAACGATAGATCCTTACTTTCTTCCCCATGTAGAATATTATTGTTTCAATACATAAGCCTTTTCTCATGGATTTATGTTCTTGAGTCTCTGTAGATCCAAATCTAGTACGTTTGTGTTGCTTCTAATTGTGTTGGTAATTCATTTTGCATTGTGTTATAATTTTTCTCGTATTTTATCATTCCAATCTGTAGATCGTGTATAAGAATAATCCGTTTTACTCTTTTATTAAGCCATTAAGCAATCAAAGTTGTTTATAATTTAAGCTCGAAGTTAATTATTCTAGTTGAAAAGTTTGGTATGTCTAGATATTTCAGTGGTAATACTGATATCTCTATCCTATTTACCACATTCACCAATATATGTCTAAAATAAGGAATGTTTGGTGGTGTTTGAAAAAGGCCACATAAATATCTCGTAACTAAAGAGTCGGTGAAAACCTAATACGTGACGTTAAATTTGTTTGTTGCAACATATTTACACATAAAAACAGCGGTGGTCTTGATCGCGTATTAAATTCATTTTTACATTTTCAGCAAGCCTGTTAATTAGGATTTGAGATCTGCAAAACGTGCTTAGTTCTACTACTATTTTCTAATCACATCCACTTTTGAGGGTTTCATATATATGTTATTAGTTTATTTTTATCCACGAGCCTCATATTATGGTCGATTTGTTTGTATATTTATGAGTAAACAATAATTAAGATCTAATGATGGTATATCATACTTTTAATATGAATTTTGAAATAAGTAATATATATGAACAAGACTGATTAGGTTGATCTACATAGTACTTCGGATTCCCAAACATTGCCCACCAAACCCCCCTCCCTCCCTGCCAAAAACAAAATGAACCCACACATGGTCAATTAATTAGCCCTGTTTTGATATCCTTGGTCCAAGTCTAATATATTGGTATTTAGGTGAAATAATCGGGTAATTTCATAAGTAATATGAGAGAGAATCGAAGTAAACACATAATCAGCGGTTGGTGAGTTCATATGCTATGCACACCGGATAATACGCAAATTTATTAAATTTATTCAATGATCCAGAAGCACTTCCCGGTGGCCAACATTATCCTTTATATTTTAACTAACTAAAGATTGGTTATAATTTCACTTTGAGTGTATATTTGTAAGGTTGTTGTAGACTTTGGGTTAGCTAATGATGACTAAACGATATAGGATCCCTACTTTGTTACTATAATATGGCTCGTAATTTCTATATTAGTGGAGTATCTTTGCAGTGTCGGATAGTGGGACTGAAAAGTTGTAGTTTGGAAAGAAATAGAAACAACAATATAATATAAACAGTTACTTTTAAATTAATGTTCCAAACAATTAGAATAGTTTTTCTATTTCTCGTGACCCCCATTCAAAAAGAAATACACATGAAGTTTGTGCTAGAACCCTTCATTCATTACGATTGTTAGTTCCTGTTTCATTGCAAAAAAATTGTTAGTTCATGTATAAGCCAGACGTAATCTAGTCAACTAAGTGTAAATCCAATAACTCAAAAATGTTGGTGTTTACCAATCAAAAAGGATGAAAACAAATATTTGGGATCGAAGATCTGATCGATAATCTGATCCATTTAAAAAAAGTTATAGTCTCCCATAATTATGTAAATTTGCAATGCATTTCTAGGCCCATTATCATACACAGAGTGTTAAGTTCGGTTAAACGAACTTTCTGACATACAAATTCAGTTATTCAGTTATTTCCCCTGGTTTTCAATCGAATAAAAAATATCTTAAGTAGAAACAAAAAGTTATCGGGAAATTGAAGCAAATATGAATGTTTTCAACTCTTTGACTATATATAGGTGTTACTGTTACACATTAAAGAGTCCCAACCTGAAAAATATATACATTGTATTCTTTCTGGCTCGCTGAAATGCTGGGTTGTGCTCTGGGTTTCACAAAGAGTTTTGGACCATGCATTGTGATTGGACCGTAGGTTTGGGCTTGTAGGTTTATTAGGCTGTACTTGGTTTTGTCGCAGAGCAGAGGGTATAATCGTAATTAGACACTCCGTTACACGCTTGGCTTTGAGCAGATAAATAAATATGACAGCTTCGTGCTAGCCAAAACACCACAACGAAAGAAACTACCAATCAGCAAAGTCGTCGGGTCAAATGGAATCAGAAACGGCGGCGTTTAAGTGGGAGGGCAAGCAAACCGCCCAAGTCAACGGCGTCACGGCGGAGCAGGTCTGGTCGGTCGTTTCAGACTTCTGCAACGTCCACGAGTGGTTCCCCACTGTTGACACGTGTTACCGAGTCCAAGGAACCGATGGTCAGCCGGGTCTGATCCGCTACTGCGCCTCCACCAAAACCAAGGAAGAGGAAACCAAATGGGCTAAAGAGCGTTTGGTCGAGATCGATCCAACGGCGCGGTATTTGAGCTACGAGATCCTCGAGAATAACGTTGGGTTCAGATCTTACGTGGCGACCGTCAAAGTAATCTCAGTGGACGGTGGAGATGAATCGGATGGTGGAAAAGTCTGTCGAATCGAGTGGTCGTTTGTTTCCGATCCTGTTGATGGTTGGACGAAGGAAGGCCTTGAATCCTACGTGGACATTTGTCTTAAACATTTGGCGAATAAAATGGAAATGAATCTGTAACACCTCGTTTTTGTTTTTTTTTTCGTGATAAAAATATGTGAAAGCGAGCTGGTGATTTTCGTGTTAGAAAGTGAAATAAAGATTATATATATATTTTTTAATAAAGATTATATTTGACTTGGTGCATTCTATGATTCTATGGAACTTCGTTTTTTTTCTGAATTTTTTAAGTATTTATTGGATCACTAATTAGTAATTTAAAATGTAAGTGTTCGTTTACATTTTTCTGTTGATAGCGTGGCGCCGTGGTCCGTTACATTTTAGCTTGATTTTTACGTTCATTTCAGCTGATTTTCAACACAATAAAAGATCGTAGAAACATATTCTATTAAAATATTAACCACACAAAAGTATTCTAAAAGTATACTTTCTCCATCCATTTTCTAAAGAAAGATTTACATATTTTCCAATAAAATAGTTTTATTTTTAAAATCTTTTCTATGCATTTTTCTTTAATTAATGATAATGAATTGTAAATCATTTTAAAATATTATCTGAAGAAATTAAACATCACAAATTTAAAGTTATAGCAAATTGTTTACTACAATAGTTAAGCATTATCATTTAAATTAATTTTGTTTCTTAAAAAAATACCATCATTTATTTAAACAAGGCGAGAGAGTATTAACCACACACACAAAATATTCTTTTGGGAATTTTATTGAAACGTAGGCTTTACAGAAAGAATCATTTTAGCTTTAGCCTTTAAGTATTTATGAGCATGTCTCGGGAATGGATTCCTCGGTTACGTGGTGCAGATCACCATACGTTAATTAGTGTTCTTCCTTGTTGGGTGGGTTTTAATGAGTCCATGAGCGTATTTGGACTTTGAGCGGCCATATGATCTCGTTAATACTTTTGTGCAATATTAACAAAACAAAATTAGTTTCACATTTAACAAAGAAACCATGAAATTTGTGTTACTGGTTATAAAAAAGATGTCAAATTAATGGTTATAAAAAAGATTGTCAAAATGTCTGAAAGGCTTTGTAAGAAATTGTTATAATACACGTCAAAAAGAATATTATAATACTGGAAATTTATACATTACTACAAGCAGCTCATCTTATGGCTGAATAAAATGTTCGATCGGAATCAAAATATCTTATAAATAATTTCTTTTTTAACATTTCCAAAATTTGCTTAATCTTCCAAAACCGTGTAATAATTTTTTTGTGGAAAAGCTTGAAAAGTTTTTGAATACTCCCTCTGTATTTTATTACCTGACGTTTTAAGATTTTTTTTGTACCAAAATAATTGATGTTTTCGTCAATCTAGAGAGTTACTAGTAGAAAATGACTTTATATACCATTTTTTAATAAGTTGTGTAATAATTCGTATTAGATGAATTTAATAATAAATAAGGTCATAATAGGTATTTTAAAACTTTTCTTAATCCGCGTGAGTTTTCTAAAACGACATGTATAAAAAAACGGAAGGAGTATGTTTTATGACTTCAACTGAGCAATTTTCTTGAACAACAAATAAAAATTCAACTGGGAATACTTGATGAACCCTACAACATTTTTTGTAACACTGAATTAAATTATAGCAGTGCTAGCACAAATATATCTCTATTGAACTCAACCCATTAAGTTTACTGTATATGTCAATTCAAGAGTGATCTACATATATTGAAAGTGCTTACTAATTGTAATTGTTTCCCTGATCTTGTTAACGAAGAGAATGGTTTGAAGTAAATATTCCAGTTTAGAAAGAAAAAATGATTTCCTCCATACTAGTTACGGATATTCTCAGTGTAACATTTTATTTTTGTTGTATTTCTCATCAGTTATGAAAACATTTCAAACTTGCTCGGATTCAATTATTGGGTTAGTAGGTAAGTTATATATGTAAGTAGTAGAAGTATAATTTTTAACCGATTCGGTCTTGGTATAAATCTTAACATTAAACAAAAAAAAAACTTTCAAAATTAGAGATGATAGTCATTTTCAGGACTATATAACTAAATACAAATTAACTAAGAGTCAAGAGTATATATAAATATATCTCTGAAGAAAAAGGTCTTAACGAAAAACTTGAAAAAAAGACTCAGATAAAAGACCAGTTGAGGAACATGAAGCAGATACAGTGAGGTTCTTCGTCGTCGTTTAACACTTTCCATGCAACAGCCTTTTCGTACGTTACTGCTCTTCCCATGCTCGACATGCATATTCCTCCATCAATACACATAAACCCCTGGAAAATTATTTTTATTAATTTACGACCCCAAAATTATGATTTATTCTTATAACCACATTTTTAAGGTTTAGAAAAAAATAATGATTTAACGGGACCCACACTGCAACGTTACACAATTTTTTTTTTCTGTGTGATAATTTCAAATAATGTTTCAATTTTTAGCTAATTATATTATGCATAGCTCCATTTTAACGTACCTGTTGCATAATCTGAGGGAAGTCGGAGCATAACGTCTTCTTCCCATTGTTGTCAAAGATCTTTTCGAGAGTGATATCCTGAAGTGCTACCAACGTCGTCTCTAGCATGTCTAAACCAGCCTGGTTCGCAAATGTGAATACGGGCGGTAAGGCCTGCAATGATCAAACCAGTCCACTTTCATCGTTAGAAAAGGTATAATAATTTTCGAAATTAAGTAAATTTATCATTGATGTTCAAAATATCACTAGACGTAAATAATTCGTTTCAAAGTTTTATAGTGCCAAGACCACCTTCATAGTTTAGTGTTTTGTGGAAACTTTCATTGACAAATAGAAGAAAATATTTGTTAATATATTTAATAAGGACTAGACTGATTGATCAACCGCCTAAGTTCCAAATCAGGAGGCTCGTGCAGTTTTAACCGTCCATAATATAATATAAGATGCATGCAAATGCGAATGAGAACAAAGTAAAGAGAAAAAAAAAGTGACCTTGAGTGAACAACACATGACGGCGTCAGGATGGTGCCAAAGAGACTTGAGAAGATCGGTTCCATTAGGTTTAAGTAGTTCGACGCCAAGGTAACATCTATACGAGTGAGATATCCAACGAGCGAGCGTGTGAGCTTCGGGTGATGCGGGTGGAGGACGCAGGCCGCCGCTTAGCTGATGAGAAGAAGGAGAGAGAGCAAGCGCGACCCGTTGGACAGACGCGATCACACTTCTCACATATTGTCTAGCCATTGAGGCTACGTTCTCTTGCATATGCATCTCAAAAGCTAGCTGAAACGCTATTGTCATCACTGACTTTGTGTTTCCTCTGCTTCCACATGAGTCTCCGGCTGTTCTGCTCCCGACGTCTAGAGCCGATGCTAAGTCTAGCGTTCGGTTTGGACTCAATCCCTCCTATATATAGTTGTGTTTGATTCAGTTAGTGTTTCATTCGAATGATGTTGATGATTGTAATTAAGATGAAATGAACGTACAGATTTGGACTCTAGAGGAATGATGCGGAAGCCGGAAGGAATGATTGGAGCATCATCAGAGAAAGAGGCGTCGATGGGTGCAAAGATAAGCTCTGCGCATGATTCAACTGCGTTCTCATCCACCCCACTGCACATCTATATCATCAAACCATAATAGTTAAATAATTGCAATCAGATGAATTACTGAAAAGCAGAGAATTATATCTCAGTCAATTGATTGTTTTAAGTGTTTGAGTTGATTTTACGTTTATAAGTGTATACTTTCCAAACTGAACCACATCTTGAATATTTTTTTAAATAAATTCAAAATTGTAAAACGCAAGCGGAAGATAACCTTTACATTTTGCAAATAGTTTATGAAGTGAAATTTTTCTTTTTATCTTGTTAAGATGTGGACATGCATAAAATTGACGTTTCAGACAATAAGCTCTACCTGTAGAAGGAAGATATCAGCAGGCATCATCATGTCTTCTTGGTAATGCCCCAAGCTCTCAAGCTTGATCACTTCCATAAACTGTAAAAAAGACAGAAAATAAAACGGCACAACTTTAAGTTTTTTTTTTTTTCCTTCAAAAGTTAAATGTAGTTATATTGATTTTGCTTTTGAGGAGCTCTTAGTCCACTTACCTCTTCATTTTCTATAGTGTGAGCTAGAGGAAGAATGACTTGACCGCCGAAGCTCCCTGGGCGAGGAATTGGTACACTACAAGGCCCTGCTTTAATGGCCGCAGCCGAATACGCATCAATGCTATTGTCAGCCCATTCTTGCCTATGTTCCCTCAAGAATCTCAGAAGAATCGACGGTGGAACATTCTACGAAAACAAAAACAACCTTAATGACAAATCAACAGGAGAAAATTAGTTTAGAACTTTTAGATTTGATGAGCTTAATTACTTGTAATAACATGGAAGCTTTGGCACATAGAACCGCACTAGGCATAGAAGTGAAGCCATTGGAAAACGGGAGACTTGAAGTCATCATCATTTTTGTAGGAGAGGAGTTCACAAGAAGAGTAACATCATCGATTCCATCACTCTCTAGCATCGACCATCCTTCATCGCTGAACCCATTGACTGCTTCATTGAATCCTCTGAGATTATAAGAAATAATTAAGGTTTTTAGAAGAAATGTTTTGAAGTGTTTTTTAGAGGTGAAGGAAGAGAAGTGTGAGAAGATTTATTACTTGCTGAGTCTTTGGCTAAGTGCCCTAAGAGCCGCTGGTCTTCTTCCCCAACCAGTTACGTTTGGTTGTGAAATCTCTTGAGATATTTGTCTCAAATAGCGTAGAGCCTGTAAACAGCATAAAGAAACCATAGGTTCTTACATATTGTTTTTTCAAGAATAAGGTTGCGATCATTTCAGACACTTAAGTGTTTTTAGGAATCTTACGGCCATGGTGGTTCTTTGAGCGAGTAACGTTGAAGACTCATAGAGAGAACGAAGAACTTCTGGAACACTCCATGGCTACAAAATAATAATAAAAAAAAACTTATAGAATAAGAAGAAATGAAGACTGAAATGTGGAAAGAACAAAAATGAAGTGCAGAAACAGAGGAACCATTTCACTTTCAGACCCAAGAACTAGGTTTCTTTTGTAAGAAGAAAAAAAAATACGAATTAAATAGACGAAATGATAAAACTAGTGAAGGCTTTGCCTTTGTACCTCGAGATCGAAATGATCGACAATGTGAAGAATGGATCCACCTCCTTCACAGGGTCTAATGAGGTAGCCACTTGGTAAAATCTCTGCTCTAACGAAATGAGGAGATGGAGGCATACTTGGCCCGTTTTGTGTATTGTTCAACGACCGTTCGCATATCTGCATCGATTAATTCAGTATCATTCGAAAAGAGAACACAAAATATCGATAGTAAGAAAATAACTAAGGATTATTTCATTAGTATATACCACAAGGCTCCCGTCTTCCATTACAGATGTGTAACGTAGCATCCAGAAGTCACGAGCTGGTGCTAATGTTGTCGGCGCATAAAGCTTTCATAAGAAAGAAAGAAAAGACAAACGAGGAAACTGTTAGTTTTATTCTGGTTCGTTATTTGGTTTGTGTTTGAAGATGAAATCTTTTAGGGTTCTTGATCATCATTCATCAATACCTGCATGTAGATTAATTCTAGGGTTCCACCATTTGCTGTGGAGAGGACGTTAACGATATCGAGAGATCTACAATCACGCAACCAACAAGGCCGATCCTTTAGGATCTCCGCGACCTGCAGAGAAAATAAACACATCATTGTGATTCATGTTCTTTTAGGTTGCTTGATGGGGACGTAACTGTTAGAAAGAAGTGAGACTACTTACTCTTGTGGGATCAAGACCCACGAGGCCACAAGCACGGGCTGCGATTCCTGTGCATCCGTGAGAAATAGCAACGATTCCAATGGAATCCGGACCAGGCTGCAGATGAAATTAGCCAGTAAGGAAGTGATCAAGATGATTGATCAATCATATATAGTCATAGAAGACGAGCTAGAGTTAAGTAAAATTACCTTCATCCCAGGCATTTGGACCCACTCAACAGCGGTTCCAGTGGCCTTTGAAATGAACTCTGTTAAAGTTTCATCCGCAATGGACAATAATCTGAAGAAAGACACACAAGAGAAGAATAAAGGGTTTAGTAAGAAACGAATTAGTCCACTTCGCCTGATGATGCCACCATTCAAAGCCAAAAGATTGTTGATTTTAGCTTACCCAGCAGGGCTAGCATCACGAGGCTGATGTTGAGGGGTCAAGTGGTGCTGACCACTCGTCACCACTGACTCACAGCTCGTATCCGTGGTCGCCAAGTTCCCCTGCTATTCCCCAATCGCAAGAAAAACCGAGAGAGACCATCAATTACATAACTTATGCGTCAAGTTTCAGGTGAAAGAATAAAAAAGATGAATTAATATGTTATACGTTTTGAGGGTGTTGGCGAAAATAGCTGTTCTCATAAACCAAGTGAGACACTTGCTTTTGCAAGCGGTCATTCTCTTCCATCAAAAGCTTGTTCATCGCCGTTAGCTTCCGATTCACCGCTTGAAGCCGCGAAGCCTCTTTCCGCTGCTTTTCTCTACACCTGCAAAAAACTCATAATATCAAGAGTCAAGAAACTAGAGAGTTTCTTGCGGCTCAAGAAATTATGACCATTAAGAAAAATGACCTGCGGTTCTGAAACCAGACTTTGATCTGTTTAGGCTCGATGTTGGAGAGGATAGGACATTCGCGGATAAGCTGTTGGCGGCGCATAGAGCTTGGTTTAGGACAGTCATTGTAGAGTCTCTCTAGAGCTTCCACTTGTTCAGGTGTGTACCTCACATACTTCCCGTTGTCAATATTGTGACTATTATTGCTCCCTCCTCCCATCTTTCGACCTCTCTATTTATTCCTTTATTACAAAAGAGAACAAAAAAATTAACATAATCCTATAAGATTATGTATATGTATTCTTGAAAACCCTATGGACCATTTTGGTATGATTCAAATAACTTTCTTGATCTATTCTGGAAAAGATCCGTGTTTTTATTCTATTTTTGTGGTGAAATTACAGATGTGATTAATTAGTCAATAACGTGATACTTGATGATTCTTGAAAAATCAAAAACAGATCTTGTTTGAGATCATCCTATGAAAATTGAAAATGATGCAGATTAGGTGCTTATTATGATCATGTCTCTTATTATAAACATAATCGCAAATAGTAATAGATCCTAAATAAAGTTCAGTGACAGTAAAAAATTTGTAACTTTCTTCTGCATATTCCATTGGAACCTAACAGAGATCCAAATTTTGTTTTTTTTTTGAAGAGAGAGAGAGAGAGAGAAAGAAAAATTGTTAGATACCGTACCGTTGAATTGTTTCTGATCAAGCTGATTTCTGGAAGCTTTTGTTCTTTGTGAATTATCACCAAAGACCTTGTGATTACTGGAAGCTTCTTGTCTCTCTAAAAGTTCTTAAGTCCTCTCTCGATCGATCTCTCTCTATAAAGAATGGATGAGTAACTTCCTTCGGAAAAACCGGTGAAGCATGCTTCACAATGGGAACTAAAAGATTCAAACTTCAGACTCTGGTACAGTTCAACCACTTTCTTCCTCACTCTTTCTCTCTCTCTCTCTATCTCTCTAGATAGATCCACAACGTGAAGAGTCAAGATTTGTGAAACTTGTATATAACAATATGTAGTGGGACGAGAAAGAGAGAGAGAGAGAGAAGAGAAACTTTTGTTTATGGGTGGGTGTGCTTTTTTATTTTAATTTTAATTTATGGAATTAATTAAATAGAAATGTGTGTATGAAAAATAAGAGAAGACATGTGTGTCGGGCTGTGTTGAAAAAGAGAGAAGTGAGTACCCTTAATACCAGACAACCACCAATTCTCACTTTTTCCTTTCTTTTTTTTCCCTTCTTTTATTTTTTGTTTTTCATTTTCTATTTTGAAGTGTTCTGTTCCTTTTTCTGCCATTTCTTTTGGCCTATCTTTCAAATACACTATTGTGAAAGAAAAAGAAAACACAAGAATATTTCTCCGACATCGCCTAAAATACGTCACATCATCATCATATACACAAATCAGGTATTAAATTCAAAACGTTAGTCTCATTATTTTTCAGTATGGTCATGGCAATAACAAATTTGGTTTTGCTCCCAAGACTTCTTGTGCTCTCTATTCCAATGGAATGTATATGTATGTGGCAGGAGGCGCCGCCCCAACTTCTTTATTAAATTTTAGGTTTTGTACATCAGTGCATCTTTAGTCCACAATTTCTTATGCAGTGTTCACTTATTTCTACAAATTATTCTATCACATTTTTTACAAAATTTCCAAGTTTCTCAATATATGCGCTTTTGATTAAATGATCAATCTTAATAGATTGATAACAATTCAACAAATTAATAGGCTCAGATGGATGCCTAAGCAGTTTAGTATGTTAGTATGCGGTGTAGGACTACATGGTAGATATTTTACTTGTTGAAAGTGACTATAAATCACATATTTATCAAATTATGATAGAATTCTTTGTTGAAAACATTAGTTGATATTTAGCTCTTTGAAACTGAACATCAGTTCACGTCAACGATGAAATTTAACTCTTTGAATGATAAGTTTTTACCATCATTAGTCTCGTCTTATAAGATTCACATCTGATCTGATATTTGAAGTTATTGTCATATGTTTGTTTAAAGTTGAAAATAGTTTCGAAATTTTATCCTGAACTTTTATAAACTTTATTTTAAAGTTGGAAACAGTTTCGAAATATTAACCTGAACTTATATAAACCTTATTTCGAAATTTTATAAAGCCGGTCGATCGTGGAGATTGCCTTCAAATTGACATCTCTAAGGCGTACGACAATGTCAGTTGGTCTTTCGTTCTGAACATATTGGGTGCTCTTGGTCTTCCTGCGGTTTTTATTGGTTGGATTAAAGCATGCATCACTTCTCATTATTATTCCATGGCTGTGAATGGTGAGCTTGTCGGATTTTTTCCAGGGAAGAAAGGGCTTCGGCAGGGTGATCCGGTGTCGTCCTCGCTCTTCGTCCTAGCTATGGAGATTTTGTCTAAGCTTCTCGACAAGGCTGTTCATGACCATGTGTTTACTCCGCACCCTTCTTGCAATCAGCCCCTAATTACCCACTTGAGCTTTGCGGATGATGTTCTCATTTTCTTCGATGGATCTGCATCCTCTCTCAGCGGAATTCTTACTGTCTTGAACTCGTTCCAGCGATCTTCTGGTCTTGCTCTCAGTCTCCGCAAGTCCTGCCTTTTTCTTGATGGGAACAACCTTCCGTTAGTTCGTGAAATGGCTGGTAGATTTGGCTTGCAGCAAGGATCCCTTCCGGTGCGTTACTTAGGTTTGCCCTTGATGCCCCATAAGTTACGAGCCCAAGATTTTCAACCTCTGGTGGATAAGGTGAAGGCTCGCATTTCTACATGGACAATTAGACATTTGAATTTCGCAGGCCGTCTACAGCTTATTCAATCGGTGTTGTACAGCATTATCAACTTCTGAAGCTCAGTCTTTCCCCTTCCAGCAAGTTGTTTATCTACGCTTGAGCAGATTTGTAACGCCTTTCTTTGGAGTGGTGCTCCAAATTCTGCGAAGAGTGCTAAGGTGGCTTGGGATTCGGTTTGTACACCAAAAGAGGCTGGCGGATTAGGGCTTAAAAGACTGCATGACCTAAATCAGGTTTTCGGACTTAAGCTAATCTGGCTCCTCTTTGCTGGTAATGGCTTGCTTTGGGTAGCTTGGATTAATCATATGGTCATCAGAGGAAGGCTTTTTTGGTCTGCGGATTTTCATCTTTCGGGAAGTTGGATATGGAAGCGTCTTATGAAACTTCGTGTCCTTGCTAGACCCTTTTTATATTGCCAGGTGAACTCTGGAACTCTTGCTTCCTTTTGGCACGACGATTGGACTCATTTAGGACCCCTTATCGACCTAACGGGGACAAACGGGCCAAGAATCACTGGTATTCCTTCATCATCGACCGTTGCTGGTGCCTGTTCGAATGGTTCTTGGAATATTTCTCAGAGAAGACATCCGACCTTTGCTCTTCTTCGCGCTTGCCTTCCATAGGACCTTCCTTCGACTTTATCCACTGACTCAGATATTTTCCTTTGGAGGAACTCTCCAGGATCTCCTCCAGGTCTTTTCTCTACCTCGAAGACTTGGGATCAGTTACACCCCTCTCCTCCTCCTGTTCCATGGCACAAAGCAGTTTGGCCAAAGGTGAGGATTCCTAAACATGCTTTTATTTTCTGGGTGGCAACCATGAATAGAATGCCTTCGAGAGACAGACTTCGTAGTTGGGGGCTTAACGTCCCAGCTGATTGCCTGCTTTGTGGAAGCTGCTCCGAGAGTAGAGATCATCTATTCTTCTCTTGTTCGTACTCTGCCGAGCTCTTGTCATCTATTTTCTCTTATTCGGGTATCCACCCCCCGTTATCTTTTGATGCTTGTCTGGATTGGATTATGTCCCCGTTATCTCCAAACAAGCTCAAAGTCATTGCAAATCTGGTTATTCAGTCGGTGGTTTACTCTTTATGGAAAGAGAGGAATGTTCGACTTCACTCGGCTACTTCCAATCCGGTTCAGGTGTTAATCAAGGAAATTCATTTGATCCTTCGAGCTAAGTTGGCGAGTCTGGATCGAGCTGATCATAGACGCCTAATCCCGGGACGGCAGATCTTCGCAGATTCCTACCTCTACAACTGGTTCAGATTCTTCCAGTCATAGCTCTCCTCCGATTCAGCATTCTTCAATTCTCGGCATTTGATGCTTAAGGGTTCTTCTATCTCTGTTTCACATGCGTTTCACATGTCTTGCTCTTTTCTATTAGTAGTCATTAGTCGTTCATCTTCTGTTTCAAATTTTGTAATTCTAAATGATGCCTCATTAAGGAGGAAGAATGGAGATGAATAAAAAAAAAGAGATCGTGGAGATACTTTTTGGCCATTTAGGCACGAATTATGCATGCGCATACCAACGTTATACATATTTAGGTACCGATGATATATAGAGAATAACGTTAAATAAGTACACTACTGATTCCACTTTAAAAGAATTTTTGGAATAAGTAAGATATATACCTTATACTAATAAATAGAGATCCAGATGGTTGTTGAAGAAATTAAAGGACAGAATGATGAAAAAGTTGCATGCGTCCTTGATTTCTTGTTACGCAGATAAAATCCCATGTAGTCATCATCATTATCGTCAATCATCATTCCTATTTCCTGATATAAACTTAGAAACTTTCATAATATGATCATTGTTATAAATATCAAATTGTAAATAAAAAAATTGGTTAGAATATCAATTTTTTAATGAAAAAATTTAGAACCAGATGAGACATGCATGAAAAATTAAACTACATTGTCTCCTGTGATAAAGGCACACTATATTCAAGCCCATGCACGATTTTCTCACATTACTCATTGTTTCACATCCCCGGGTCCAATATTTGAGGATATATTCTGCATAAGGATAACTTAAAAAAATCTCAATATTAACATATATGATAATATATATTGAAGGATCTTATGATAATATTCGACACGCAGAAATAATTAGTTACTGTTAATAAACCTATTATGTACATATATGAAGGTTTTCTTGTTAATAAGTCAGTCAACCAACATATATATATATATATATATATATACACAACATCATAAGACCTAGCTTCCAACATCTTTGGAAGGTTACAATCTAAAAGGGGAATGTACCAAGTCATACATATTTAAGATCAAAGGAAATATAGTGGATATATGAATATCCCTTAATATATATTACTATCACTCTTCTAAAAATAATTTAACAATATACTTGATATATTAGCAAAGTTTTAAAGTGTAGTTGAAAACTTGAAAGTAAAAAATTAGTTAATGTTATATTATACATAACATATATATATATATATTAAAATATGTGTCAATATATATTTTAAAAGATGTTTATAACAGAGTAAGACACTATTATAAGATATTATAATTTCTCATTAATATAGTTTTCTCCAAGTACTCCTTATTTACCATACAAATTTAATGACTCCCCACAAGAGTTGATAAGTATATGATATATCCTGGAAAGAGATATATTAATGGAAACTATATGTGTTGATGAAGGGAATATACTAATCTACGTGAATCTATCTTTTTTCGTTTTAGTAGGCCTAATTAAGTTTCATACCAATGTCATTTGACGATAACAAATCCGATGATGTGATATCCTTGTGGTTCGCTTCCGAAAATTCTCCATGTAACCTCTTAGGGAAAATTTTCCCAAGAATTTTGTACTTATAATTTAAACTTTTTTAATTCGATGCTCAATAAAGTTAAAATTTTAAAACATTTTACTTTATGATTAATTTGAAGCGTTTAGACTTTTTTTTTTGTTCAAAGCGTTTAGACTTTTTAAATAATATTTCTTTCAGGGAAAAAATGAGATGAAAAAAAGAAGAAACTATTGTGTATATATAATACTGGAATAAAGCACCTAGTTAGTTGTCACTCATCATAATTTCTCCAATGGGGACTTTTTCTCTCTTCGATTGGCATGTGATTATATGTCAACGGTGCTAAAGGATCGCTAGCTTTCTATGAGGAAAACACAACGGGCATATGTTTACATGCGTATATGTATCATTTCTAAGCAATTATAATAAAAGAACATCTTATTTTAAAAACATCTTTCTTAAAGCTTATAGAAAAAAAAATAAAGGTGGACCCTCTAATAATGAAGTGTATAGGAGTATAAAGCAAGCAAAGCTCAAAGTTTCCACTAATATAGTGGACGTAATATATTTTTCTTTCTGATATTACTTTTATATCTGTTTCTTTATTTTCTTTCTTAACAATTACCACAAAATCGATGACATATTGACATCTATGATCTATCTGTGAGAGAATGGTAAGGTATCGAACCTCTGTAAATTTTATTAAGTGTATGTTTTTTGGATATATATTATCCAAGAAATTTTAAATCCTAAAATCCGTATACATTTCATTGGATCGGGGCGATTAGTTTAAAGTCCCTCTTAAACAGTACTCGAATTCAAGAGAGTATGGCTTTTCACTTTTTTTTGGAAGGACCATGTATTATACTATAGGTCCAGTTTTGAGCATTTACTCAAAATACAAAGGCACATGTCCATAGCAAAAATTATTTTTCCCAACTGAAAGAGACTGAACCTGAGAGAAGTTAAAAAGATAGATTTGTGATATTAGCTGCAAAGCCTGCAATCTATTATTAGAGACCCAATTTATAGAAAACAAAATAATTTAAGGGTTTCTTATAGATAATGTAGATGATCCACTATTTCAATGATCCGGACCTATCGATCTGATGTCTACGCCACTAAATCAAAGCACTACTTAGTTCTGCAAGTTTTTACATAGAATACACAGAGGGGCTTGCGAGTTTTTTTTTACATATTCCCTTTTTTTTAATGACACAAAAAGTTATGTAGACATTCGTTTCTTGATTTAGATCAAGTGAGTCTACATGAAAAACACTACCTAGTATTACTCTATATATATGGCGGATTTACGAGTTTATTCGCCGGCATAAATTATGAATTAGATTTAAACTCTACTCTTAATTCACTATAATATGTCTGATCGAGAAAGCAAATTCTTGCGCCTTTGTTAAACAAAAAAAAAGAAGCAGCAAATTAAATCCTCCGTTTTATAACTTAACTTTTATTTTATAATATAAATTATTACAAAAAAATGTTAGTAATATTCAGCGTCATTTTTAATTTCATGATTACTAAGTTTATACACCTATTAATTATGTTTTCCGAGGTCAGCTTATTTTGTAATACAGTACATACTATTTTGTCTTCATCTACAGAATTTTCAAAACAAACTGTTTGATTAACTATAAACCCGTACAGCTATATACTAATTATTATATACTATTGTGTTCAGTTAAATTACTCTTTCCATTTAGAAGAGTACTAGCTGCTCTAAATGTGAAATCACTCTGTGGGAGATCTATATCTCGTTTAGTGATGTTATACACCCTCATTTGAAGATATATAAAAAATGTAGGACTAGATAACTAGAAAAAATATAACGATAGAACTAAATTGTATGCTAAAAATAGGTACCCACAACATATTGTTGGAGTAAGCTTGAAGAGCAAGCTTCCAGAATCTTCTTAAGTAAAGTTTCCTATAAGAGTTAGGATTAAAGAGAAAAGGAAATTAGGAGTAATCTAAATTCCATTAGGTTTAGGAAGTTGTCTAAATCTTTCTTTATATAAGGAGTTACCAAAGTTGTGGTTTTACTTATCAGAGTTTGAGTGCTTTAGTTTTTGAGTCAGTTTTCTAAAGCAATAAGAGAGTTATTCTTAAAACTTTGTGTTCTAAATTCATAATCAATTTATCATTCTAGATTTGGTATCAGAGCGAACAAATTGATATCAAACATTACGAGATCACACCATGGGGGACATTATCGCAGCAACAGATAAACCTAAAGAAGGAGGAGGACTTTCTTCTATTCAATGTCCGATGCTCACCCCAACCAACTACACGGTTTGGTCCATGCGAATGAAAGTTTGTCTCAAAGTTCATAAAGTTTGGGAAAGTATCGAACCAGGAACAGCAAACGATGAGAAGAGCACATTGGCGATGGCGTTACTGTTCCAATCGATGCCGGAATCACTCGTGTTACAGGTCGGAGAGCTCGAAACTGCAAAGAAAGTGTGGGAGGCCATAAAGACAAGGCATATGGGTGCTGATAGAGTCAGAGAAGCTCGGCTACAAACCTTGATGGCTGAATTCGATAGATTGAAGATGAAAGATTCGGAATCCATAGATGAATTTGCTGGAAAACTTTCGGAAATCTCAACAAAATCGGCGGCATTAGGAGTGGTTGTTGAAGAACCTAAACTTGTGAAGAAATTTCTCAAGAGCTTACCACGACAAAAATACATTCATATAGTGGCTTCTTTAGAGCAAGTTTTGGATCTCAACACTACTACCTTCGAAGACATTATTGGACGTTTAAAAGCTTATGAGGAAAGAATCTTTGAAGAAGCCGAAGCACAGGAAGACTCCAGCAAACTAATGTATGCGAAAACAGAGGACCAAACAGGGCAACAAAATCGCGACTATAACAACAATTGGAGAGGTCGTGGTCGCGGAGGACGAAGAGGCAGAGGTCGTGGACGGTTTAACAGTAATGGACAGAGAGACGCATCGTCGGTAACATGTTATCGATGTGATAAACTCGGTCATTATGCTTCAGACTGCCCTGATCGGCTCCTCAAGCTACAAGAAGCACAAGAAACCAATAATTCAGAAACGCAAAGCGCAGACGAGCTGTTAATGCACGAGCTAGTATTTTTGAACGAGAAACATTGCAGACCAAGTGATTACGAGACAAACTCTGGAGATGAGAACTTATGGTACCTTGATAATGGGGCAAGTAATCACATGACGGGTGATCGGAGATATTTTTCTAACATTGATGAGTCAATCACAGGGAAAGTAAGGTTTGGTGATGATTCTCGCATCGACATAAAAGGAAAAGGAGCAATATCTTTCACCGACATAAATGGAGAACCGAGAATCATGACAGATGTATACTTTATTCCAGATTTGAAGAGCAACATTATCAGTCTTGGTCAAGCTACAGAGTCTGGTTGCGACATAAGGATGAGAGGAGAATGCCTTACTATGCACGACCGAGACGGGAAGCTACTAGTCAAAGCTACAAGGTCTA